GTGCGTCTGTGCTCTGTGTATATGGATTTGTGTGGGCGTGATTCGCTTTGCCATCACTGTGTCTGTGCAGATTCTCTCGTCAGAGTAGCCTACTTAGTTACATTTATATATATTTTTTGTGTTGAAAATGTATTGAAGAAAATAAGTGAAAGAAAAAATAGGCTACCAGAAAAAAAAACTATATTTACCATTTATTTAGCAATTAATGAACAAGATTTTTACAATTGCTTTTACAATGGCACTCGGCTGATAAAGGAATAGTTAACCAAAAAATGAAAATTACTTCATAATTTTCTCACCCTCAAGCAAGCCATCCTAGATGTATATGAATTTCTTCTTTCAGACACATACAATCGGAGATATATATATTAAAAATGTCCTAGCTCTTCTAAGTATTATAATGGCGGTGAATGGTGATAAAGATTTTGAAGCAAAATAAAGCGTATCCATCCAGGGCCATAGCTGAATTTGCAGGGCCCTGGTGCTGGTTGTAACCGTGGGGCCTGTTTGAAATTGTGTAAATAGCACGAATAAATAACACCGTTTAAGTTTGTTCAAGTTTGTAGGTGTCCGACTCCAGATACAGAAACTGAATAATCAAATGTAAAATTTCATAGTCTTCACTGTATAAATTAAATTGAATAAATTTAATAATTAATTATATAAATTAAATACAAATTAATTATTGTTAAAACTACAAAGTAATTCAGTAAAGAGCAGTGAGCAGGGCTGTACAGTGCGACATAGGCTATATGTCGCACCGTGCTACGAAAAACTGGTCTGTGCTATGAATAAATTTACCTCTGTAGCACGCCTGCGATACAGCTTTGCATGTTCATAACACAGCCGCTTAATAGTGTGAAGTGATTTCGTTGTGCTTGTTTGTGTGTGTGAGATTGATTATAGGCCCTACTTGATTGATTTAGGGGTGTGCGATATGACGATTTTTGATCGTGGACGATTAAAATGTCTCCACCCTCTGCTTTTGAAGAAATATCGTTGTATCGTGCTACAGCGCTCATTCTATCAGCTGCAGTTCTGGCACCTCCCTCCGTCTCAATATACTGTACAACGCCACATGCATTCACATCAGTGGTGGCTCAGCGGTAGAGTAACTCTCACGGGACACTGCACTTACGCGCAATCACAAAACTACATTATTTCCATCTGCTTTAAAGCAATACCGGTTAAACATTTCATTCGCGTACTCATGAAGCGCTCTCACACTGAGAGCCTGTCAAAAAGCGCCTGATTATTGGACTAAGTTGTCTTTCGCGTCTGATTGATTTCGCGTCTAATACTGTCAAAAACACACAAGGTTTACATATACAGTTGGCTATGTCTAAAATGAAAGTAAACAGTTGAGAGAGAAACGCTTGCAGCTCTTAAAGGGACAGTAGCTACTAAACATGCTGCCGACTGTCATTAAAGGGGGGCACAATGCTGTTTCATGCATTCAGAGTTGTTTACATTGTTAAAGAGTTGGAATCTCATGCTAAGCATGGACAAAGTTTCAAAAAACATTTAGGACGTATGACGGAGTATTTATGTGCCAAAAATCGTACTTCGGGGTTCGTACAAGTTTCGGAAAGTTTTTTTCGATTGTGGCTCTTAATGACGTAAACGAGGGTGGAACTCCTTATATGGGCATTTCTCCAGGAAGAGCACGCATCGACCGCACGCATCGACCAGAGTATGAGTGAGAGCGAGATCGCACCCATCAACGCGCTTCATCAGTTAGACATCTTTGTAGTAAATGCGCTTGATCACTTTTCCTCTTTTATTGACAGTGAGGAGTGCTATAGGTGCACAATAATTCATCTTTAAACTGAAGTGCAGATCTCATCTTATGAGAAAAAACACGCCCATCTGCACTGTGTTTCTATGGGCCGCGATACATAAGCCAAAACCAAACCAAAAGACCAAAACGGTCTGCAAACCTTTGAGCACGTAACGTCAAAAGAAGTATTTGTCTTTACGGCCTTCCATAACAGTCAACGTGCTCAAAGGTTCGCAGACCGTTCCAAAAATGGCGGATGGCTTACGTATCGCGGCCCATAGAAACACAGTGCATAGATGGGCGTGTTTTAATGAGGCCTTTTAGGAAGGTGTGGATGAGTCTTAACTTTTAGAAAGAATATCTCTTTGGGTTTAAGACTTTAATCTTTGCGCCCTTATGGATCTTATATATATGCACAAACAGCTTGTAACACTCCAACGACAAAGGAAAACATGAAATCGCATCATATGACCCCTTTTAAATGAGAGACAATCACTCACCAGGGGTCTCATTTATAAAACTCTCCGTAGATTTCATTCTAAAAGTGTACGTACGCTGAAAAACTAGATTTTGCGTACGCACAAAAGTTTTCAGATTTATAAAACCATTCGTACGCCAGAACCTGTGCAAAAATCCTTTTATAAATCCCAGTCAGAGAAAGATTGTGCATACGTGCATTTACACCCCGTCTTCTTCCCAAAATCACCATATATGGTCGAATAGGGCATCTATACATATCTATGTGCATAACACCTCCCAAATGTTTACGCAAAGAAAGAAGGCGTAACGTTTAATTTTTGCTGTAGTATTGTTGCTGCCGCCGCTGTGCCGTGGTGACTGTGTGTTTCCAAATATGGTAAGGGGCGTAACATTTCCGTCACACACTTAAGGTATTCAGCCAATCACAATGCACAGGATAGCTGGCCAATCAGAGCACACCATGCTTTTCAGAACGTTGAGCTTTGTAAAAATCGGCGCGTTTCAGAACAGCAGGGCAAAGAGAAGCAACAATAATGTACAGTATGTGGAAAATAATGTTTTTTTTAAACTTAATCTGCGTAAAAACATTGCATTACACCAAATAATGTTCTTTTTAGCAACGTAATATGACCACTTTAATTTCTTGGATTAACATTAAGGACACCGACAGCAGTTAGTAAATTAGGCGCGGTCACTTTAAGGGACAATACATCCAATATAATGATACACATCCGATTTCTTTCTCAACTAATAGAGAGCTCGGTTCAGTGTTTGCACACTGTTTTTGAGACGCGGATCTGTGAGCACCGAACATGGCGTGCAAGCACTCAGTTGAGTTCTTTCAGATCTTGTGCTTGAATGCTTTAAACTTGTTTGAATGTTTACATTGGCAAGGCTTGAAAACACGTGCAATTGATAAGCTTTCTTGCAGCAGGGACTGCCGCTCTCTCTGGCAGCGGCAGGTTGCAGCGCCACTTCCGGTGGTATCCCCAGATGCCACGGCAGCTGCCAGAGTTCGTGGCAGCTGCCACTAGTCGTTTCTGGCAGCTGCCGCGGTCTTTCTCGCCGTTTCTGCTGTTTGCTCGGTAAAACTACACTGTACTCAGTGGCGTGCGGTGGTGTTTTTTAAAATGATGATGCAAAGTTCCCACAGTTGTATTATTATTATAATTATTATAAATTTTTATGTATCAATTGCCATAGTTCTTGGAGTCAAAGGCAGCTGCCAGAATTCGTGGCAGCTGCCACCGTCTTTCTCGCCGTTTCTGCTGTTTGCTCGGTAAAACTACACTGTTCTCAGTGGCATGCGGTG